CCTCGTAGAAAAACCACCCATTTGTAAATACAATTTTAGCTGAAGCGCACTTCAGCTTTGCATTCACCACTGCAAAAATGTCAAAAGAAATCGACACGCCCAGCGTGCATGGAGGCTATTTCCATTTAAATCTTCCGTCACATTCTTACGGCGCAATGATACAACTATTTGAACTCTCCGGAATGCGTGAGGTATCACGCCGCATTTGAAGGCGTTTTCAAATCAGCCAAGTTCCGATACCCGGATTATCGTTTTGCACAGTTCATATTCTTTTGTTATACTCCGTGCCACTTGTTTATTTTTAATCCTCGTAGAAAAACCACCCATTTGTAAGTACAATTTTAGCTGAAGCGCACTTCAGCTTTGCATTCACCACTGCAAAAATGTCAAAAGAAATCGACACGCCCAGCGTGCATGGAGGTTATTTCCATTTAATTCTTCCGTCACATTCTTACGGCGCAATGATACAACTATTTGAACTCTCCGGAATGCGTGAGGTATCACGCCGCATTTGAAGGCGTTTTCAAATCAGCCAAGTTCCGATACCCGGATTATCGTTTTGCACAGTTCATATTCTTTTGTTAAACTCCGTGCCACTTGTTTATTTTTAATCCTCGTAGAAAAACCACCCATTTGTAAATACAATTTTAGCTGAAGCGCACTTCAGCTTTGCATTCACCACTGCAAAAATTTCAGAGGAAATCGACAAGCCCAGCGTGCATGAAGGCAGGCTCGCCACAGGGGGGATACTGGGTCCCTGGTACCGGGGCCCGGGCTCCGGAGGGGGCCCGTGTTACCCGTGAAAAACCACTACGAATTCACATGCAACCCTTGTTTCGTAAGAAAAAGTGAAAAATTTACCGTAAAAATTTCGCAAAAGGTGAATAGATTTTCAGAAACACGCTGGGGCACTGTAGAATTCTTCTTAAATTTTCAAAGAAGTATACCTCTTGGAGAATTTCTATCTATTTTCAAGATTTTCAGTACAGAGGGATATTTTTAGTGACTGCGTTTCATTTTCTTCCGTCGTCAGATGCTAAGGGTCTCCAGTCTGGGCATCCTCGACTTCAATGGCTCATGGCTCAACTCCCTTGCCAAAGACAAACGAAGGGGGAGTCCAAGGGGGCCTGGCCCTCTTAGAACTGAAAATAGTATCATATGCCCCCCCCCCTCAAAAAGAAAATTAAAATTTTCCAGATGTTTTGAATGCAAAAATTCGCAAGTATTTTGTGCTGAATGTAGAAAAAAAAACATAAGTATTCCGCAGAAATTGATGGAAAAATTCTTTATGGAAGCTTGAAAATGCGTGCGATTAGTCGTATAAATTCTAAAATTTCTCGGGGGATGCCCCTCGGACCCCCCTCCGTGCTTGGGACCAGGGCCCGATATGGGATGTGGCGGGCCTGGCCCCTCCCCTCTTCCTCCGCCTCAAATGGCGCGTGTTGACAGCACAGATGACAATTTATTGAGTACATAATGGACTCATTTAGTCGTGACGTCATAGCCAGCATTGATTCCTTCGACTACGGTCTCGGGTTCCAAACAATTGGCTGTCCTTGTTGCACTAATGGCGTTTCCCCGTAAGAAACGACTTTCAAATTTCAAAACGAATTTTCGACCTTTTAAACGCCGGGAACCCCAGAGGTTGCTCCCGAAATCGATTTTAAAGCGTCAAAATATGGGGGTCCAACCTTTAAAACGCCTCAAATCGACCAATTTTACCCGAGTTATCGCAGTTGAAAACAGGTACAAAATCATCAGTCTGTCTCTCTCTACGGCCGTTTAGCTGTTTACAGACAAGATTGAGGTTAGAATCATCTTGAATTTTTCCATTTTTCTCGTTGAAACTCATGATATTCCCTCTCAACAAGTAAAATTTATCAAGAAAAGTTAGTTTCCAGTATCATCAAACTATTTCTATGCGCTCATGGATCGACAGAGTCTTAATTAGTGATGAGTATGGCTTCGTGGTGAAGCGTTACCGTATTACATACAGCATTTCTTCAATCAACGCTCAGTCTAGCCTTAATGCGGTGATTGTTGTCAATTTTTTCCTCTCTACTGCACGACTTTACGCTCATGAACGGAGACATAAAAAGGAAAGTGATGACTTGAGTTTTTCTGACTCTGAATCTCATGGTTTTGTATCTCTGTCTCCGAAATCATCGGGGGTCGTATTGCTCCCCAGCTATGCAGATTTCTTCAGATCGCTCGCTCAGTCTGCCTCCTTTGTGAAGTCTAATCATGCTTTAGTTATGACCAGTAAGATCCTCTTTTCTTCAGCATACTTTAGAGTGTATATTGCAGTTGGAAAATACAGTGTTTTTCTCGCAGTGTCCAAACTACACTTTTCTCATTTGACGGCTAATAAGAGCTCATGATGTGAGCGACTGCATGGCATAATAGATCAGATCATCCAGGACATCATCATGCTTTTCCAGAACTCTTGTTGTTTACAAGGTTAATGGGCTCCATTAATGAATGTGTAACATTGTTGTGGAAAAGCACGTCGATAGTCCGTCGGAGCATCAGAAGATGATTCTCATTCACCTCAAGCCTGTCACTCCTTCTGCAAGATCCTATGTCCTCCTAGGACAGTTCATTTACCAAGTGATTCATGCGTAGAATATACAGCATACGTCTTCTCCTATTGTAAATATATTTAAATCAATACGAAACACGTGGCAAGATGATTAGATCTTAGGCAGCATTCGTGCCAGATTGTTCCGATGCAAAACTTAATTTAAGTTTCCTCCTATTAGTTTCATGGTTTAAATTCATAGAGAAAATTTAAAGGATCAAACAATGTGTAAGTTCTAAATGCAACAACACTATTACATCATTGGGTCTGGAATACTGGGTCACACGTTGTCATTTCTGTTGCTCTAAGCTTTCAGGTGATTCGTCAAGCTCAAATGATGTGGTCGAACTGGCATGCGATATATCGTATCTTTTAGGTAAAAAATCTCGACAGATTTTGAATTTTCAGCAAAAAAAAGGACGATAGCCCCTGCGCATGAGTCCAAAGAATCATTCCAAACCCACGAATCGGCAAAATTCAGAGAAATGAAAGGAGGATAGTGTTTGGAAAAAAACCTCGCATTCGATTCAGCTATCAATTTCTGTATCGAATGCGAGGTTTTTTTTCAAACACTATCCTCCTTTCATTTCTCTGAATTTTGCCGATTCGTGGGTTTGGAATGATTCTTTGGACTCATGCGCAGGGGCTATCGTCCTTTTTTTTGCTGAAAATTCAAAATCTGTCGAGATTTTTTACCTAAAAGATACGATATATCGCATGCCAGTTCGATCGCGTCACTTGAGCTTGACGAATCACCTTAAATTTCATGCAAGTCTCTTCTCTCATTATCTTCGGTATTTTTTGCCAAACCTTTTTCCAATTTAGTTCCTTCTCTAAAGGAAACTGAATCTGATTCAAAACCTTTCAGTCAGAAGTGGAAAAATTTATCAAGTCATGGGGGAAGATGACTTTCAAAACTTATTAGCTGGTTTACGTACTTACTATAGGAAATGGCGTTTGCTGTACATTCTGGGAATGAATAACTTGGTAAAGGAACAGGCTTGAAGTGAATGAGAATCCTCTTCCGATGCTCCGACGGACTATCGACGTGCTTTAAATATATTTACAATAGGAGAAGACGTATGCTGTATATTCTACGCATGAATCACTTGGTAAATGAACTGTCCTAGGAGGACATAGGATCTTGCAGAAGGAGTGACAGGCTTGAGGTGAATGAGAATCATCTTCTGATGCTCCGACGGACTATCGACGTGCTTTTCCACAACAATGTTACACATTCATTAATGGAGCCCATTAACCTTGTAAACAACAAGAGTTCTGGAAAAGCATGATGATGTCCTGGATGATCTGATCTATTATGCCATGCAGTCGCTCACATCATGAGCTCTTATTAGCCGTCAAATGAGAAAAGTGTAGTTTGGACACTGCGAGAAAAACACTGTATTTTCCAACTGCAATATACACTCTAAAGTATGCTGAAGAAAAGAGGATCTTACTGGTCATAACTAAAGCATGATTAGACTTCACAAAGGAGGCAGACTGAGCGAGCGATCTGAAGAAATCTGCATAGCTGGGGAGCAATACGACCCCCGATGATTTCGGAGACAGAGATACAAAACCATGAGATTCAGAGTCAGAAAAACTCAAGTCATCACTTTCCTTTTTATGTCTCCGTTCATGAGCGTAAAGTCGTGCAGTAGAGAGGAAAAAATTGACAACAATCACCGCATTAAGGCTAGACTGAGCGTTGATTGAAGAAATGCTGTATGTAATACGGTAACGCTTCACCACGAAGCCATACTCATCACTAATTAAGACTCTGTCGATCCATGAGCGCATAGAAATAGTTTGATGATACTGGAAACTAACTTTTCTTGATAAATTTTACTTGTTAAGAGGGAATATCATGAGTTTCAACGAGAAAAATGGAAAAATTCAAGATGATTCTAACCTCAATCTTGTCTGTAAACAGCTAAACGGCCGTAGAGAGAGACAGACTGATGATTTTGTACCTGTTTTCAACTGCGATAACTCGGGTAAAATTGGTCGATTTGAGGCGTTTTAAAGGTTGGACCCCCATATTTTGACGCTTTAAAATCGATTTCGGGAGCAACCTCTGGGGTTCCCGGCGTTTAAAAGGTCGAAAATTCGTTTTGAAATTTGAAAGTCGTTTCTTACGGGGAAACGCCATTAGTGCAACAAGGACAGCCAATTGTTTGGAACCCGCGACCGTAGTCGAAGGAATCAATGCTGGCTGTGACGTAAGACTAAATGAGTCCATTAGATCAAGGATCTCACCCAACACGAGCGTATTCAAATCACGCGCCACTGAATGTATGACCGCTGTTTGGACCAATCACAAAGCTGCATTACGTCGCACTAGCGCATGCGCACTTGTTTTGTTTGGGTTTTTGTAACTCGCTTCATGCTTGATAACAGAACTTACTCCTAGTGATAACACAGCTTTTCCCGGTTACTCAATAATTTTACAATTAGTAATAATAAATCGTGAAGTTTATCGTGACAGTAATTGTTTGTTAGTTGACAGCACGCCTCGTGACATTATTATTTCACCATGCATACCAAGTATAGTGGCGTAGCTTTAATGTCATCTCTTTGCAAAGGTTTTCCTCATAGACCGCCTTTGAACATGAAGATCATGATATTGTACCGAGACATGATAATGAAGACCAGAAATTGTCTCCTTTTCACAAAGTTTATCAGACAGGAAAACAAACCTGACTAGCACTAAGAACCATGATTAGTTTCAAGATTTATGTGCCCCATTCAGGTACCAGGTGACCGTGTCAATCAATTCATTTCAATCCATGATCAATCCCTAAATTTTTTTAAATGAATAGGTGCCGATTAAGTATGTTGCCTCAGCCAGTAGAAACCAGTCTATTCCGGTGTTTTTTTGTGCGTAATGACACTGCTTAGCCCTCCTCTAATTTTTTTCGCTAACATTCAATCTTCTCATAGACTCACTTAAGTTAAGTAGTGGCCGCATCATTCTTGCGGAATTCAGAATATCTTATCTCGGTGTCAAATGGCCCCTATCAACACAATAAAGCATAGCCTCAAGTCGGAGTTTTGTGTTGAGCATCTACTTAGTTGTTTCATTACGCAATCCTCAATATTAAATCACTAAGATGTCAATGACTTATCGAAGACAAGTGACTTTGATTGCAAAAACACTCAGATGCCTTCACCCCCCTTGCCTTTAATACAGTGAAGCTATGTATCGGTTTATTCAGAGCCTTCAATCAGCAATGGAACATGTAGAATGACATAGCCTCTGAATCATTCTATCCTAGTCCCACCTTCTCTGTGCACTACTACTTGTTTCAAGTCGTAAATTTCCAAGTAACCTTCTTTTCTTATTTTAGGGGAGGTCCCTCAATACCGCCTTACGACTACCGAGGATTTCTTGCTTCTGTTTCCTTCATCAAGAAAATGATACCTACAGTGATGATGACTGAAACTACTCCAGCATTAACGACAGAGCTGCCATACACTGCCAGGAGTAAGAATCCTCATGCACTTTAATTTCACGTAATTGTGGCATCCATCAAACACACACCTGTCAAACTTTATGTACTCTGCCAATATAACCATTATCACATATCGATGGTGAAAGTACCAGACCACTTACCTTGGTTTGCGATGTTGCAGTCTTTGTGTCATACTTTATTTTTTAGATGAAAAACTACTCAACGTCAATTCTTTAATACTTCCGTGATTTTTCTTCTCTGTATGGAAAAAAATCTGTGGAAACGTCAAGGAATGATATTGGTTCGTTCCTCATCACAAAAATAAAATGGGAGCAGCGATTTTTAAGCACTGCAAATGAGATACGTGGTCTGGTAGTTTCACTGTCAATATTTGTTCACCAGTAGTGTTGCAAAGAATTTTAATGAACCATGCGGATGTAGAGGGATACTAATGCTATGAAAATATGCTGAACTCCAAGTATGCTGCATCAGCCTTCTCTGTGAAGCTTTTGCCTATCTCTTTGAACAATTTGGACTACATTTTGTAATTTGGACCTATAAATTCCGGCCTGGTTTAAAAACAACGTATGTGCCATTAGTTTCCCTATGCACATAAGTGTTTTTTCAGGTGAGCCAGGATTTATAAGTCCAAATTGCAAAATGCAGTCCATTTGATGGTCAAACTTCAAAACAATGGCTTCGGCATCGAAGACCTCCTGTTACACTCAATTTTTTGTTTGGAAAAGTTGTCACCTTAATATCTTGAAAACTTTCTCGATTTTTCTTCCTGATCGATGAATAATCTGTATGAGGGTGGTTTCACGATAACTGGAATAGTTTTGTCGCCGTAACAGACAACACACTTTTTGGTCATATTTTTAGCAGGAGTGATATAATCACTCGAATTTTTTTGCATTAATCTACACAGGGTTACGTGTGATAACGCTTTTGAAAGATTTATCGCTTTACTTTTCAATTTTAATATATAAATGGCCGAAAATGTCCTGTCTCTTACGCCGACTTTTTTAACCGCCCAACAGACAGCACATTTTTGGAATTTACATAATGTTGATTGAGAAGTAGAGGAAGAAGTATTAGAAAACGTTATAATACTTAACCCTTTGAAGACTAATGCAAAAAAATTCGAGTGATTATCAGTTCTACTAAAAATATGACCGAATAATGTGGTGTCCTTTACGGCGACAAAACCATTCCAGTTATCGTGAAACACCCATGAATCTCAAGCTATACAGTTGGCCTGTTTCTCTTCAAAGAAATAAAATAGGAGTGGACATATTGAAACATTGTAATGGAAATGCAGGGTTTTGCACTTTGGCCATCCAGTTGCACCCGCTTCAACAAGTTGATAGTGAAATTCTAATGACACAAACCAAATAAGGTGTTTCAAAACGTAGGTAGGTATACATTTTATATTTCTGAGGGAAAATTTCAGCCTTGATGGTGCAGGTCATGGTTGAGCAAGTTTGCTGCCAGCACTGGGTTCCTGAACTAGATTCAATCCTGGGAAATTATGGACTTAGAAGAACATTTAAAAGTCAGTCAGCTGATGGATCACCATTGGATAATTTCTGTGAGAGGATTAAGTTTGATTTTGGCTTACTGCCAACCCTCATCACAACAAAACAATACTCTTTTGGGGTGACAGTGCACCTACAACCGAAGGTTTTCATGTTGGTAGCAATGATTGCCACATCCAAAATTCTCGACCCAACTCTCATCTAATTATTACTAATTATCACCTAAGGCATCATATCCGTCAACTCAGACACCTACTCTAATAGAAAACACCAACATTTTTGTCTAAAAATTTTCCTAAATGTTCTTCCTAAAGTGGAGGAAATTCCAAGAGAAAATATTGGGTTCCTAATTTTTCCGGAAAAAAATTAAGTGTCCAAAAATTTCCTGTATCGCAAGCTGAGAATGCTGAGATGGATCCATTTATTAAGCGTTACTTACCTATGCAATTTAGTCGGTTTGAATATCTGGTTGCCCAAAAATATGTTTCTTCTCAAATGCACTTTCAAGTGAGAAAATGAAGGAGAAAACAGGAGGAGAAAAATGAATGAGTTTTTTACTCAAATTTTTTCCCACTGGATCATATTTCTTTATCACTGTGAGTCTCCAGTCTCTATTCTAGAGTCCTGCCGTGGAAGAGTTCTGTATGAGTATTCAAATGTCGCTCAAATTTCCCTCAACAAAATATTTATTTCTGCGGAAAGTTATGCATAAATTTTTTTTTTTTTAAGTTTCAGATATTTTATATTAAATGGAGAACAAAGTCATCCAGAAAATTTGAAGGAAAATACAATTTTCCATGTTAATTCGAATTTTATTTGGAGAGGTATGGCAATGTCTGAGGGCTCATACAGCGTTTTTCTATAGCTCGGAAATATTTTTTTCTAAATAAGCTTGTAGTGCAGTCAATCATCAGATGGAGAACATCCTAATTGTTGGAAAAGTTCTTACCTCCACACCTAAAAATTCTTGTATCTTTGAAATCAAGAACTCATGAAAGTGTTGCTTTTTATATTTTTTTGGAAGTACACTATTTACCATATTATGTGTTTGTTTTCAGTGGAAAGTTACGGTAATAATTCACACAATGGATGTGGGATCCAAATTCTTGCTAATGACTCGAGAACAGGTCACTTTAACTCCCGCCCTCTGGAACACCATCGTAATTGCTCCATCGTTTTTGTGGGCAATCCCAACGATGTCGTCCATCTTTCAGTATTTAATTACAAATTAAAGTAAGTTTTCTTTGTAATGCCCTGTGCTTGGTAATTGCTTTGTGCCAGTAATTCGGGAATAGAAACGCTTTATCCACTTTTGGCTCGAGTGGATTAGATATGGATGGACCTAAAATGAATCCTAATTTACCTTGAAAAAAATTATGTCCCAGGTGTGCAAGCTGGAAAGACAGGGACGTCACAGGAAAAATCAGGGAATTTTGCAGGTTCGCTTAGGAACCTCAGCTGGTGCCATTGGAGAGAACACAAACAACTTCAGAGTGCCTTTTTCCTCAATTTAACTCTCCAGAAGTTGAGATTTCTTCCATTCAGAAGTCAGTGCAATCTAAAGAAAAAAAGTCCAAGTGAAGGTTTTGAACGAAGACCTGAGAAAGTCTGAGAATATTTATATTTTGAACTCAGGTTAAAGCGAAAAAGGTCAAAGAATCGGAAATTAAAAAAATTATAAAAACTCTGAATGATCTTGTAAAAAGTTTGACAGAGCCAAAGTTATCTCTATTCAAACTGTGAGTCAGGTACAGTACGATGAATCAAAGAAAAATCACAGCATTAACGCAGAGAATAATCAAAAAACTTATGGAAACTCCAAGATCAATTTCAGGTAATACAGCTCATAGGCATTGCACCTACACTACAACTGTAGCTCTCAAAAATGATTTATTTTTGGTGAAGCCTCAATGCCTATTAGCTATATGCTTTACTCCCACCTTCTGTTATTGCTTAGTTGTGAGCAAGATAATCTTTAACTGCTGTTCCTAATCAAAGTGCAAAAACGTCTTGACCATACGACCGGCCGGCTGTAAATGGTTGCGTGTTAAAATGGGAAAATCACAAAAAGAGGACTACGTAATGAAAATTTTAAATTCCGTCAAAAATCACCTATTTCTTGTAAAATCATAGCAATAAAAAAATAAAGAGCAAAAAGATTAAGGTGGGAAAATTCATCACTGTGAACATTTTGAGAAAAAAAGGGTTCACACAGAAGAATTTCTCTTTTGAAAAATAGGAAGACTAAAAACTAGCTGCATCTTTGGTAATGTGGTTTCTTTAAGATTTAACCTTGTAAAATTGGCGTGATAACCAAATCCTTCTGTACTTAGATTGTGTAGTACTTATACTGTGCCTTAAAACTGAAATTTGGCAAAATACTGCATAAATAAGAAGTGGCATATGACATGAGGACTACAATCTTAAATTTACTTTAAATTAACCATATGAGGACATTCCTACCAGTGGAAGCACTTAAAAATCACTTAAAAGTCTTAATGAATGACTAGTAAATTTCAAGCGTGCAAATTTCTGGAAATCAATGCATGTTAAAATTTACAGTTAGGATATCAGTGGGTAAGGTTGAAAGGCACAGATCTATTGGGGTGTTTCAACAGTCCTAAGTCTTTTTTTTTTTTTTTTTTTTTTTTTTTTTTTTATTTTTAACAGAGTTGTATCTTGTTACATATAATGTTTCTCTGTTTTTTCAAGTCCTGGTCAGTCACTCCTCAATACAGGACTTTTCAAAATAATATTTTTCTTTTAATTTCTCTTCAAAAAGGTTACACTGAGATAATACTGTAGGTATTAAAAAAACAAAACAATATACCAACCTGAGATTCATTTTTTCACCTTCCATACATGGAAAAATTTCTTAGAAAATTTCAAGGAAAAAGTTCATATAGCTCTCCTTTAAAAAGGTAAAATTTGAATGGAAATTTACAATGATGCAAATGAAGGCACGCACATTTCAACTGTAGCCATCGATACCCTCCTTTTTTCAAAGAAACAAATGCTACCCTCTACTGTCACAAGTTTCTCATGATTAAATTCCAATAAACGTTAACAAAAATTTTACGTACAGTTTTAATTTTGCATTTTAACTTAATTGCAGTTTATTTCATGTGTCACAGTAACACAAAAACTTTTGTTAGTATTTCACAAAATTTTAATGCCAATTTGTTTTTCATTTTTTTTTCACTTCTAAAATTCTGCATCAATTGAAAAATCTTCAAAAAAGTTCCCCACTTTGTATAGAATAATAATTTTCTAATTTGAAGCAACAGTCTCTCCAGGTAGAAACTGTTGTCTCTTGGTTTTTTATTCTTATATGTTTTTCTCTGTTTCTCAGAGCACCTGCTTGTCAGTCGTATTTGGAGCTGTATGACGGACCGATAGGAAGAAATAAACCAATGAAGCGTATTTGTAGCCCTCAGTCAAAACATGCTCGTGATGCTAGTGGCAAGTAAGTTATCCTGCACCATCATTTCGGGCACCAATCTTTTAGTTCGGAAGATACTGTCACCTCCCATCTGTCAAACTTTTCAAGGTTACCCACTATTGAAAATTACTGTCTTCTACAAGCAGTGACAATTTTACCAGCGAGGCAGGCTTCATCTGAATTGTTATGGAAGGAGATTTACATTATTTGACTATAAATTGAAGGAGAAAAAAAATAAAAAAAATCAACGAGAAAAATGGTGATGTTTCAGAGTCAGGAGGAGAAAATAGCTCCCTTCCTTTACAACTTTTTGCTGAATTGAAATCTTATTTTAGAAAATAACCAATGAGAAGGCCTTCATTGAGTTGCGCACCATGTCTAGTGTTTGTATGGCCATGGCAAAAAATCTAGTGCAGCGTTTGTTGAAGTAGGAGCTCTTGCTATGAATCAATGTGGGATTCTTACTATTTTTTTATGAGGATGATCGTCTCCCTTTTGTGGAAAGCAGAGAGTCTTTTTGGAAAAAGGATTTACCTTGAGGTGTTTCCACCGACAAAATGTGTGTGTGCCGACAAAAACAGCTTTCGAATTTGAAAAATTCCTACATTTTCTAGGAGGCAGCCCCCTTCCTAGATCCCTCCCAGGCGCAGCAGTTTTATGAGGCAAGAGTTGCCTCTTATTACAGGGAGAATTCTTATTAGCTTGTGCGTTGCAGAAAAACTAATAAAATTTTCAGTCAAAATTTTTCTCAGCACCTAAAAAATTATTTTAAACTGCCATAGGTATGCAGAGAAAAGAGCTCAAAATCAGCCTAACAAGGTAAGGAAAGCTGAAAGAATGATCTTTAAGTTCGCACGATCCACTATTTGCTGACCACACTTGTTTGTGTGGATGAGGGTTGGGACAAGACTTTTGAGACAGCCCATGTATCCATGAAAATATGAACAGAAATTTTGTATATTTTCAGTACAGAATCTGATATTCATTATTAATTTTTTAATATTTTCAGAAAGTATGTCTTTTCGGATCCTTCTCTAAAGATGGTATTCTGAATTTAGCTTTTTACTTTTCGAAGAGCTTAAATGCCAAATAATCATGAGACCTGGAATTCATGACGGATTTTAGGAACGAAAGCTTGTGAAGTTTCGGTACTCATACTTTTCGAAAAATACCATGTTCACATCGTATCACTCTTACTCAGAGTCATTGAGGGCAAATCATAAATGCATGCTTTTGCATTTATAATTTCATTTGTTAAACAATTTTTTCAAGTACAACAAGCTTTCTATCCATGAAAAGTAATTTTTTTCAGCCTCTTGTGAAATGAAGAAATTTTCCTGCTTTGACTTTTATTTCTAGGCCTTTTTTTTTGTTCTCCTCATCATTTGCGCAGCAATATTACTCATAGTTTATTCATTTAGTTCTCCTCTAGAAATCCTTGATAATCAGTTGATGCGATTTATTTTTCCAGGTTTCACTCACATGAAACTTTGATGTCCTCAGGGAATACATTCTCTATTCTTTTGCACCGTCTCTTGGGTGAAACTTATGCAGATGTAGAACATATTGATGGACCGTATGCCTTTCATGATGGTAAGAAATTTTGCTTCAATTTTAGTACTGCCCTAGAAACAATGCCTGTTCAAAATAAAAATTTAGAAAAAAAGGAAAAAAAAAAACCTGAACAACTGATGGGAAGATTCAACCCTGACGAAAATTTCAATCTTTGATGCTTTGTAAAGAAAGTTAAAATCTTCATAGATGAAAGGAACCTATTTTTATGAATTTAATAAAAAAAAGTCTTGAATTTTATGCACATTTTTCACAATTTTTAATTTAGTACTTAATTTCTGTCAATTTACGAGAAGATTACAAAAAACTATCTTGTAAAGTTTTATTTGAAGTTGAATACTTTGATTAGTCCAAAAATTCACTAGAATCCAATGTAAATTTTAAGGTGTATTACAAGATTCAAGCAATATTTAAAAGTGAGTAGAAAAGTAATATGAAATTTATTTTTCAGTCATATTATATAAAAATTATTGATAAAAGTGCTTCCTTAAGTTTTTTACCAGTTTTTTTTTAAAAGTTAAAATGGAAAAAGAAAATACGCAAGGAAATTAACGAGCCTAAACAAGCTGTGAAAGTGATGAGCAGATTATGGAGGTATAAATGTCTCCTAGAAATTCCAGTGTTTGGTTTTGAACAATAAGATTCCCCTTCAAGATATTTTCAAGAATCTTTCAGTGATGTGATGTCATCTATGAACATCAGGAAATTCAGAAAGTGTAAAACGAAACCCTCCTTCTGATGTAAGATAACTCCATTTAAAAAACACAGTCAATTAGTGCCAAGTCAAGCTTTTATTGAGACCAAAAGTTGCTGAAATCAAATGTTTCTTTGGTCGCTTGACATTTTCAAAATGAACAATGTGATAAAACAGGGTTCAGGTTAATTTACACTGATTTTCACTGAAGAGAAGCTGCTTATGTTGAAGAAAAAAGCTCCAATTTTTACGAGGCTAATATTGTAAAACAGGGCCTAAAGGTATTATTGGACCTGTTATACCAGAAGAATATTCAGTTAAGTTTTTTTTTATTGAAATATTGATTATCTGCCAAATAGCCATAGTACAATCTACTTACTTTATCGGTTTTTTACAAAACATTTCTTTTCATCTGCATATTACAATTAGCTTAAAACTAGCACAGATTTTGTTTTACTCTTGAGATGTAGTATCTAGGATTTTTCTCGTCCCACAATCATAGGTCATAGGTAAATATAGTTAAGACTGAGCGTCTTTGAAAACAAATTTTTTGACACAACAAGCTTTTACTGTAATTATGAATATGGATCACTTTTTTTTAGAGCTAATGTTCCAAATAATTTTTTTGAAAAGTTATCTAAGATTAAGTCATCACAGTTTTTTTGGACTGTATTAACGGCCACAGTGTGAAATCATGCACCTTTGTTTACAACAACAAATAATTTGTTGTTGCATGTACCTTTGACTTCCCGTCATACTTTATTCCTTTCTAGGAAAACCAGTCTACGTAGTAATTTGAACATTTCTGTGATTTTCCTCTCTGTTAGCAGACAAGGTACGAGTTTGAAGCTATGAAGTTGACTCGTCTCTCTTTGAAAAAATAAAATAGGAGCGAACATTTTGAAACATTTCAATTGAGATTTGTTGTTTCACACCATCAATATTATAGGAATTGGTGCATTCTTTTTTTTGTAAATTAAATCAAGCCTTAATGCTAAATCTGTGTTCATTTTTCAGAACAAAAAGATGGTACATTAGCACCGGACACTCTATGCAACACCGATTATTATGGTGAAAACAGCCTATCAAATGGTCAGATAACGAATCCTGAAAACCAGCAAATATACTGGAATGTTGAGGGTCGTTTAGTATGTGCACATCGCTTTATACCAGCTCTCAATCAGAGCATCACGCTCAAAATCACATCACTCAAACTGTCAAACGAACCTGGGTGCCAAACTGAATGTGGAGACGCTGGTTGTCGCTGCAACACTGATCTCGTGTCTCTCTCCCATGTCGATCATCTGTTATTCATGCACGACAATGGTGCCCAAATTTCTTGCCTTTGTGGGAATTTTCACGAAGACTGGCTACCCGTCTCTATCAGAAGTTGGTCCCCATTGAGGCTGGTCTATTCCGTAGCTCACTATAGTTGGACTGCTCAAGGATTTAATTATAAGACTGATTATTCTTTTAATTTAGATGGTGCTTGTGGTCATCATGTCATAAGTAATCACTCAGGTTCTTTGCATTCTACACGAATCGTTGGAGGAGGTGAATTAAATTACTACTATCACCAAATATGTTCGTGTACTTTAGATTCGAATGTGGATAGACAACTAACTCTAGAATTAGCGACATCTCAAAACCGTCCTTGTACAGTGTGGAATTTCACACTGTACGAATATTCAGAGGGCTCGTCAGATCATCTAGGGCCTATCATACATACTTTCTGCCCGCGAGACAAGCACAAAGTGTATAATCTTGCTTGGAGGCTCAATGTTGTTGTCATCAAACTGACAGCAATGACGAGGACGCTCCCGCAGTATTTCATAAAATGGCAGTCACAAGTCGTGAGAGCAAATACCCGAATTTCGGGGCAGACATCCTCAATTTTATCATCTCCCTCATCGTCCTTCTCGCACGCAATGCCCATTAGTAGGAGCCCTCTTAAAGCCATTTTTCTAGTATTTATTGTTAATTTACTGAGTTTGCACTTTGTATATAGGTGAGGTCACTCTCGTTGAAATTGTTTGACAAGAGTTGTCAAACTTATGTTTGTACATTCTAAATTGTTATTGCTTGGGAAAAATCAGGGTCCCTTTGGATTTTCAAAAATATTTCCTCTGTAGATATGTTTCCAAAACAGTCCAGCCGTTTTTTTTTTGTTAAAAAAAAAAAAAAAACCATAAAATACGAAAGAAAAAGTTCAGATCCGGGTCAAGAACTTGTAGCCAATCGTGATAAGATTTTTGCAAGGACCTACAGATTGATGAGCATACTTGTTACTTAGATTTTTAAGTTGAAATATACCGAAGTATTAAAAACAGTAGTTTAACTATTTCTGCACGAAAATTGCGAAAGTAAGTATAAATATTAGCATATTACTTCCTAACTTTTTTCAGACATCCTGATTGAATTATTCTATGAGGAGCGAAGAGTTAATGAAAGTTAAAAATTGAACAGTCACAATAGTTAACCAATATTCGAGCACAAAATTTTAGGTACTTTGCTGAACATCTTGTTTCGGGTTATTTAAATTTTGTTTTTTATGGCCCTCTCGAAGAAGCTGCATGATTGGTCATCACTGCTTAACGAGTATGTTAGTATACAGCTCTACCGAAGAGAGCAGTATTTAATGCTCAAATTCTCAAAATCGAGGTTCCCTTAAAATTTTTCTAATCCAATTTAGGTGAACTCACTGATTCAATTAGAGCAAGTAAATTTGTCCCCCATGTACAAGAACAAGACCTATTAAACAAAAATTGACTTTGTTTCATGCAAAATAGCAGTTAATGGGCATTAATCTACCTCGCAGCTGTACTTATTGAGTGTAATGGTGCCCTTTTCTGGCGATTTCTAATCCTAAAATTTGTTTGTTGTTAGTCCAAAATGCAAATGTAAAAGCATACAGAAGATAGTACCTACAATTGTCTTACCTAACATGATAATGGAAAAGGCCCCAAAGATACAGTCGAAATTGAATATGCCGATTTTTAATCATCAAACGATTTCCAAGAGTTTTTTGGATGATCGGTGACAATATTACAAAGGACGGAGGCTTTTTTCAACAAAAGTTTTTTCTCAGACACTACTAGGTCTATTTTCTGGAATCTTCATTTTTGCACTTATTTTCTTTAGTAACCCTGTATTTTTGTGTGTAAATGGCAATAGGAGCTATTTAAAATTATAAGGACTCAGATTTGAGATGTCTTCGTTTTGGAGACATTGGGCTAATTGTTGAAATTGATAGACAGAGCTATGGGCAAAGAAGACAAAAGGGATGTAGAGGGATCCTATTGGTGAAAGTGAGTGTTTGCGATAGATTAACTAATGGCAACCCTTGGAGAGACCCTTCAGTTAGTCCATTTTTCTCTCCCTTAGTTTACAGGAATCAACCATTTCAATCCAAAGGATCGCTCCATACTCCCTATGTCTTCTTTGTCTATCAATTTCAACAATAAGCCTACAGAAGAATGTTTCGTTAAAAAATTATCACTTATTCTCTCCTTCAAAGATATGAGCAATGCTACTAACTCTGTTTATACTAAACGGTCCACAATTTTTAACTATGAAACTATTTCTTTTAATGATCAATATTAAATTGATTGATTTTGACATAACTGATGTGTTATAAATAGAAAGTCGTTAATACTAAATGAATAAGAACCAGGATCAATAATTTTCGAATGGAATGCAAAGGTTTTCAAAACTGCAACTAGCTCATGAAACGTGAGAGGAGGAACAATATTTTACCCCTCCGTGCATGGCTTGGTCAGAATTTAAATGTTACGATATCTCTGATTTCTTTTAATGTAGAATTTTTCTTTGTATGCTGATGTTTTTCTGTATTTGTAAATTCTTAGAAGAAATTCGATGGCCAAAGTGCAAAAACATGTATCTCCATTTGCAACATTGTAGACTTCCTGTCCCACTTTATTTTTCCTTTAAAAAACTAGTCATCGTAATAACTTGAAAATGGAGGTAGTACATGGTTTCGCACTTTGGCCATCAAATCACCGAAGGAAGTAAATTGTTTGGCGAATCATCAATTTCATTGCCACTTATAAATTTTTCTAATGTTACTCATTCAAAAAAACAAAAAAAAAAAAAATGAAAATACAGTGAAACGGTGAAATACAATGAAATACAAACATACAATGAAACAGTGAAAAAAATAATGAACCTCCTCCAGTTTTTTTGAAGTTGGTGTGTGGTTGCGTACAAGGAATAGTTTGATTTCAGTTCTTTTAACTATTGTGAGCCCTGCCTTGCCAAGGAGTAATGTCGTATGAACCTCCTAACATTGCAAAATTTCCTTAGAAAAATCTTGAATTTTCAGGAAAATCGATAGGAAAATGTCTCCAAATTTTCAGAGAATTTGGTTTGTAATTTGAACTAAAGTGTCTGCAAATTTTAAAAAAAAATGTTCATATCCTAAAAAATAAATATTTTCTAAGAGGACATTATGCAACATTCGAATGCCCGTACGCAGTTTTCCTTAGCACGGCAGTGCACTGATGTTGTTGCATCAATTTTATGACACACGCCTAATTAAAAGAATCTTATCTTCAGCTTGATATTTCAATCATTCTAAAAGAAGATGTATGAGTCGATGTAACAGAGATAATTTGGACCTGTAATGTATGGATTTTTCTTTTAAACAAAAAGCACTCAAAGATTTACGGCAGAATATTGAATCCCGCTGTGAATCACTGATTTTCCTGGTTTTTCGACAAAAAGGAAAATTTACCAGTGAAATATTTTTATTTTTAGCTGCTTTCCAAAACAAATGTGACTATTTTCAGAATAATTAATGTTTGGGGCTCAAAATTACTGAATTGAATCGCAACCGTAAGTTTTTCACAGGCTCAGCTCAAACACTCAATTTATTCGTTGGGATACTTAAGGGTGTTGTGGTTTAAAACTCCATTTCAGATCGTTTATCCTCAAGTACCCCTCATAAATGTTACTTTAAAAAAAAACTGGAAAAGCATTTTCAGGGTTACTTGTAGTCTGGGAAACTTGGAAAGTCAGGAACTCACAGCTATCTGGAAAAGTCAGGAAATTCATTTGAAAAGTCAGGGAAATTTTGCAAGCAGCATTTAGCAGGAGGCAGCATAATTAGAAGGAAAAAAGCCAAAATGGAAGGAGAGTCAGGGAATCCAACAATATTTGAACCAGGGGAAAAGCAAAAATAGTTTAGAACAGAAAATGAAAAATTTATGGAAACTCGGAAACCCTGGTTTTCCGTCTATGTAAATTTTAACATTTTCCTGAAGGAGTTGTCTTCTAAAAATCGACAAGTTTATTGGTAAAAATTGTTACTACTAGGTAAACGATCTCCTTGAGCTTATGATCTGCAGTTAGAAGACGCTTGCAGGCACCATTGTTAAAAAGAGGTATGTCCATCAATTAAATGTTCATGTTCCATCCAATATCTTCACCATTGTTTCTTAGCATACCCAGGGATATCACAGAGAAAAATTCCTCATTTTTTAATATTTCATACATAGCTGTAAGAAAAGTATATGTTAAAGTTTGTATTTAGGCACTATTAATTTTAGCTGACGGAATTTCCATTGTTGAATACATTTTTAAGTGCATTTTGTCTTTTGTGTCCCTTTGTAGCTTGTTGGTTTAACCCCCAACAAGATAATCTACCTGTGAGCTGCTTATTGAAATTGACAGACCAAGCGATGGACAAAGAAGACATAGGAAGTATGGAGAAATCCTATTGGTTGAAATGGGTGGTTCCTGTAGACTAATCAAGGGAGAAAATGACGAAAATCATGAAAATGATGGAAAGTGGATGATTGAAATAGACAAAGGAGGTACGTAATACACTAACAACGGCAAGCGACGCGGAACCATATAGTTACTACACCATTACGTACCTCCTTTGTCTATTTCAATCATCCACTTCTACTAATAGGATCCCTCCATATCGACGGTGAAACTACCAAACCACGTATCTCGGTTTGCGACGTCGCAGACTTCCTGTCATACTTTATTTTTTAAATGAAAAACTACTTAACGTCCAGTCTTGAAAATTTCTGTGATTTTTCCTCTTTGTGCGGAGAAAATTCTGTGAAAATTTCAAGGAATGATATTGATTTGGTCTACTTCAAAAAAATAAAATGTGAGCGTAGATTTTTAAACACCGCGAACGAGATACGTGGTTTGGTAGTTTCACCGTCGATATCCTTCTTGTCTTCTTTGTCTCACAGCAAATTCTGAGATAACTTGGAGGAATGATGTTGGTTTGATTTCTTTTAAAGAAATATAACAAGAGGAGACATTTTTTAGCATTGCGAACGAGATACGCGGTTTGAGATTTTCACAGTTGATATACTTTATTTCTGCACACACACCTGAGAACACAGTTCCTGGCTAAGGTGCAGTGTTGAAATTAAACTCTCATAGATGATAATCACTCCTATTGCTTAAATGGCTTAATGGTTTTGGCGCGGAGTAACTTCCGCGAAGTGCGTAACAGTTTGTAATGTAATAATATATGAAGCTCAACTATTTTTTCTGTAATTTTGAAACAAACAATTTCGCATATTGTAAGAAAACGGATAGGAAGCAATCGAAAATTTTGAGAGTTTTCAATGAAGATGAGTATTATGAAGGAAACAGATGCCGGAAAATGATTTTGAAATTTACTCTAATATAATCGGATTTGCTTTTTGCAGATGCTTCTTCCAGATGTCACAATTTTGCACTAAAACGCATTTACATTTTTTTGATGAATTCTTTTCATTCTCCATGCATTCCCTGAAAGGTTCCATCACATTCTTGAATCAGCAAGTTAAACTAGTCATCAAAGGTATCTGAAAACCTAAGAGGATCCAGTTACATCTATCCGAAGGGTGGAGGGAGAAGAGGAGTCTATGGAGAGGAAAATTTTCGAATTTTAAAGCACCTAATAGGCAATTTGAGTCGATTTTGTCATTACCTAATAGTGACCAAATTTAAATATTCTTCTTTCTTTCCTTCTAGCTTTTTAATAAATGTATATTGCAACTTTTACTACCTCTTTCCTTTCTTACCTTTTTAATATCCTTTTTCTGGCGGAAGGGAGGGGGGAGCACACGCTCTTTCCGCCCAACTCGGTTCCGCCAAATCCTTTAACACTGGCACAAAGAGTGAGGTAAAACCAGGTTAACTGGTGGTGAAACCAGACTTACTCTATCCCTGAAACTTTTTTACGAGCGTTGAAATGAAGATTATTTGCCCTTCTTGTTGGTTTTTGTGACAGTAATTAAAGCTACAAATCATCAGGGAATCATAAGCCTTGCAGTGCACCCTAAATAGGTATTCAATTCTGTGAATCTTACACAAGTTCCTGTTAGTAATTTAAAATGAAGACAATATTGTACAATAACAAATGACAGGTCAAACCAAAGAACACATCGAAATAATGATGCCACATTTTTTTCATGTGTGATGATACTTTTTAAAAGATTTATAAGAATTAAAGAAAGAAGTAAAAAAGAAACAAAGTAAAAATATTATTTTTAAAGACCACTGATGTCAGTTTGAGGATAAACTAATTGTATCATGAGGTGGCATTTTTCACCTCAGAGTTCTTTATATGAAGAAACTGACCGTTTTTTACCTCGTATTAGAATTCATTCACATCATGTACATCCAAATAATTTTGTCTCAACCAATGTGTAAGCATTTCCAACATCAAATTTAGTAACGCTGCGCTGTCGGTAATTCTACCGTAAATTTAAACCGCTCCAGCTTCGCGCCAGACTGGATGATGATGTCATCCAACACCAATCAGAGGCAAGTCGCGAGCGGGAAAAAACTTGAACCGACGCCGACGCCACGCCATTTTCAATTTTCATTTCTCTTTGCATTTCTCCAGCGAGTCGACTGTTCAGCAGAGATTCCTTCTTGAGCTCGGAAGGTCGGGATGACAAAAATCCTGCCGAATTTCCATCGCAAACTGTCTGGTGCGCAATCGGGAGCATCGGTGTTTCCGTTCTGCAGACTCACTGCACTCCCCACGCGCTGCAGGATTTTTGTCATCCCTCGCCTTTCGGGCCAAGCAGGAATCTTTTAAACTCAAACCAACTTAAACGCCTTTTTTTTTAAAGGAAATTCTGCATGATTTCTATTCTATTATCTATATGATTAGGAATTCTAAGTAATAAAGACCATAAGGAATACAAAAAATATAAATAAGGGGCCGTCCATAAATTACGTAAGGCTCTTAGGGGGAGGGGGGGGGGTCTATAACAGCCTTTCGGTGCCTTACGAGAGGAGAGGAGAGGGCACGGCTGAGCCTTACGTCAACTTTTTAGCCTATATTTCAAGAAAATGCAAAAATCCATTTTTCGTCAGGTTGATAATAAAATTCAAGATGAAATAGAGGAAATCAGGAAACCATCGATTGCTGACCGATCGAACCATGCCCTATCATTTCTCTTGATTCCCACTTCTCCACTCATTCTCACGATGATGAGTGGTGATTTCATCTTTACGTTAACTTTGTACTTTTAACTATTTACTCCCAAGGCAAAAAAAATCTTCAATTTTGCTCCATATTTTTGTTTATTAAACTAATTATAAGTATCATGAATCTTTTGTGTGAACTTACTCCAGAAGTTTAGTTTCACTTATAAAAATTGTGGCTTAAAAATTTCATTGTTTTCTAACGGGAAACGTAATGCTTCGATCTACGATAACTGAAAAAAAAAGGGGGGGGTTATTCGAGCCTTACGTAATTTTTAGAGGGGGGGGGTTAAGGGATGCCTTACGGTGCTGCACAAGGAGAAGTATGGGGGTCTAAAAATGGGGAAAAGGTCTTACGTAATTTATTCTAAAGGACGTTAACTGAACACTATGTTACATTAATTTCTGTCTGGAGTCTGCTTTTTCCTCCAATAAAAAACAAGTTTATTGGACGGCTCCTGTATACCCTTATACAGGCACCCTGAACCTTGGATCCAGAATTTTCTCTGAAGCAAGAGGAGCCCTTTTCAATTACGTTTCAATCAAAATGTAACCCTCACTCTTATTTTTTGGAAAAAATAACCCTTCGATGCACCACGCGGCATTTATAAAATAAGATCAAGACGTAAAAGTATATCCCCCTGACGGGCGCGATCCTCAAGCGACGTTATCAGAGGACGAGTATTCTACCACCAGTCTTCTCCAACTGGATGAGAGGGATGATGAAATTGCCAGTACATAAGGCAAATAAAGTTCTTTCTTTCTCCACCAGAGCTGAGAGTAGAGACGCATCGGTGACACGCTCTTGCTTACTGATGATCTGCGGCAGGATTTTTGTCATCCCTAACCTTCCGAGCCAAGAAGGAATCTCTGCTAAACTCAAACGCCCACGTACTTTCGTCTTTTGTTTACATGTTGTTGAGGTTAGAAATCTGTTGTGGATGAAATTGGAATTCGGAAGGAAAGAAATATTTTTTTTTTAGTTTTGTTTAAAGGGACTCTAGTTTTGTTGGTCATTTTCTCAATCAATTCGTCTTACTCTTAGCGTACAATCTAAGTCAGAAGTATTAGTATAATATTTTTTTACAACTTACCATGTAACTTTTAAACACAAACGCTGTAGGAAATCAAGCAATCATTTTAAGCTAAAATGGTCGGGAAGTTGTACCCAGCAAATCACAAGACAGTTTTCGTTTTGGATCACACGCCGTACTTCGGTATTCCCTGTGAACATTACATTGATTTTGACTTTCCTAAGAACAGGACACCAGGGTTTATTCCGCTGGCTCCTATCTCAAAATCTCTGTGGACATGCAGTATCGAAGCCACTGTTGAGTACTGTAGGATAGTGTGGGACTTGTTCCCCCAAGAAAAGTTGGTAAGAAGATAGTTTCTATCTCCATTATTTTTTTCTCAACTTATCAATGACTGAAATCTAAACATTCGTATCTTCATTCCAACGTTTCTGACTCAGATTATGTTTTATCTTTTAACAGGAAACCCGCAGCAAAAATATCTCCTACTTTCCATGAATGCAATTGAATGAGTGAAAAGAATTTTGAGAAAAGATGAAAAGCCATTGTTGGTTTATTTTCTTTTAGAAAATTAACTATGAGTGGAAATTTGCTCTCTGTAATGTGCATTTTTTAATTACAGCCTCTAACATGCCTTTTTTTCTGTTAAATTGTAGTTTGAGTCTGCGATAATAGTTACATTATTATGTCTGTGTTGTTTTTCCTTGGTTGCACCATCCACCAAAAGTTCTTACCTAAAGGGTGGTGGGTTTTATTTATTTTATTTTTTATGAAATCTTGTTGAAATTGGCTGTGTTACTCATGTAAACCTACTTGAAGTGAAATAAACATATTCGAATTTGACATGCACTCAAAACATCCTACCGATGTAATATTGGGTATTGTGGTGTCCACCACCTCAATAGAGAAGCTCATCTTCAACTGGTCATTAGAGCAACTATGTATTATATCCTTTACCGAAACTTTCGAAGTCTATAGTAGCAGGCCGGCGCAGACGTTCAGTTGCAGCTAAAGTTCATTATTTGTATATTTTTGAGCTATGAGAGCCATAGCTCTTCCATTCTGATAGGCATTAGTGCTACTTTATAATACCCTTTTTAACTCTCATCAAAATTATTCCTAATTCTTGCAACCTCAGTTACAGTATTTCTTCTGTTTTTTTTCTCAAGTAGGTAAATACACATCCTCGATGAAAGAGAGGATAAGTCATCACCAACATCAGACGTAAACTCACTCTGTAAAATATTATAATGTATTTTAGCATACATACATGTGTAGAGATGTTGAGTGTTCAGCATTAAAACCTTGATCACTAAAGCACGAAGTGCATATTTCACATCATCTTGAAGCATTTTAAATTTATGTTTTGTGTTAAGGCATCGAAGGCTAACAGTGTGTCCAGTAATAAAGATCATATCTGTCCCACAAGTGAATTCCACTGAATGCTGATACTGATATGCTGAACCATAACCATGAAAAGGCTTTAACACCTTTTAGTACTGAAAATGAATGGCTTCTCAATGCAAATGATTGTACAAATATTTACATGATGTACGCAGTAACACACAATACAAGCAAGAAGGAAGGCTAATCAAAACTGGCTTTAAGTACTCATTTTAACAGCATTTGAAAATTACATGACAATTGGCAATGAATGTGTTCCCATTAAGGCTCTGTTAGCTTTTCGTAAACATTATAGGAAACAAATAAGTACTTCAGCCATTGATATTTGGTACCTACCATTCTTTTCAGGTCAGAGTTATAGCAAGTGATTCTCGGGCCTACATCCTCAATTCATGGAGTATGGATCAGCAGAATGTTAATCATGTAAGCCCATATTAGTTATTCTCTTGCTTTTATTACTAGGTCCTTTCGAGTTTGATCAATTTATGTACGGTATCCGGTATCTTGGATGTGACCGTTAGACTTTTACACACCATACGGTAAGACTTTTCTTTATTTCCAATTCAAGATGCCTGAGCCTTGTGCTTTGCTGAATTGCAAACAAATCAATTTTTTGGGCTTGTTTTTTTGCAGAATTCAGCCATTGCAGTTGTTGTCTTTCCAATATATCGAACCATTGAAAGAGTTGATGTACAACATTATCGTAGTAGCACTTCGTGTAATTTTTTGTTTGTTAGATAGCCAGAGCTATGGGTTAAAATAAAAATTGTTTGTTAGATAGCCAGAGCTATGGGTTAAAATAAAAACTGTTAACTCACAATAACTTAAATTAGAAGAATTTATTAGACGAAAAGCTTCGACCAATAAATTCTTCTATATTAAGTTAATGTGAGTTAACAATTTTTAGTTTAACCCATAGCACTGGCTACGTAACAAACAAACAAATATATATATATCTAATGTCTAGGGATTCTACTCAATAATTTAGACACTGAAACCAAAAAAATGATGATTCAACAAAATAATTCTCTCTGCACAGACCCAACCCTGGAATAATGGGTGCTGCTATGCTGTTCTAGCTCTCCCAATATTTTCAAAATTTAATCAATTTTTTATTCCTGAATTGGCCCAGGAGTGCAGAATGTTCTTGACCACGCAATCATGATCGCAAAACGCTCACATGAAAATGGGGGAAGGCTGTAAAAATTTGTGTAAATTTGGGAAGACTCTTTTTTCCTTGTTTTTGGGGAAAGAGCAGGGAAACGCATTGTTATTTGTTCCAAATGCCTTTCAAGCAAGCTGCTTTTGGGGAAGGAGACTATCAAGCAAGTTGTTTTATTTGCTGGAAGTCCCTCAAACGCCCTGCATGTGGTATTAAGCAATCTGCTTTTAGGGAAGAAAACTCTACGCGCGCTGTTTTATATGCTAGAAGTTTTTCAAGCACGCTACTTTTGAGGAAGGAAGCTGCTAAGCATGTTGTTGTATGTAGAGGCGCAATTACAGCAAAATAGCGAATTTTGGGGAAGGCAATTAAAAATTGGGAAAGGCTAAGAGCTTTCTGCACCCCTGAATTGACCCAGATGACACAGACCATTCTGCTACCAGAATCGATAATCTATTCACTAATCTTCCCTCCTCAGACCTAATTTCTTCTGTAATGTATACTGCTTTATCTGATCACCATAGAATTTTTTGTAGTTTGAAGGGCGAAGCTCAATCATCTAGACCAGAGTCTCCAATTTACAAATATGCACGTAAATATGACCCGGTTAATTTGGCCACCATGAAAGCTGGCTGTTCCGATATGATTGTGGATCTACAGAGAGTTACTCCCACTGACTTTATTAATTTTATTGTAGGAGCGCATGAAACTTTTTTCCCAAAAATTAAGACTAGATTCAACCAAGGACTAAGTAGCATAAATAAAACGGTCCAGCGTGAACACTACGCAACTGTCAGAGACCTCTCTTCTGAGCTAAAGTTAATCAGGGACTCGCCAAACTTCAATAGAGAATTGTATCTAGCTATTAAGTAGAGCTTAAGGATATTAAGTCTAAATATAAATCATACATGATCAATGTTAAGTCAGATTCAATTAAGTCAATGATTAAAGAATCAAATAATGTGTCCAAGGATTCCTGGAGAATTATTAATAATCACAGACCTACCAAAAGGATAGGGAGCATTGGGATGACAAACGCAACAAGGAACAGCCACTCACTAAGGCGCGGCCAAATATTTTTTGAAAAACTTCCCGCAAACCTAAAATCCAAATACAGGGACCCAAATTTTCTAAATGTACTAAAACAATTTTTTATTGCCAAGTGTTTGTATAGTGTAGCAGAATATTTATCTTAAGTTCTGTAATCTCTTTTCCCTTCTTTTTTTTTTTTTTTCTTATATCCTAACTAATTTTGACATATTTGTTTTCGCCGTTATGAATGTGCATTTACAAATAAAATAAATTATTATTATTATTATTATTATGAAATATCATCGTAACAGTTAATAGGACAAAAAAGAATCTTGCTGTCATTTTTCTTTTCTGTTTCACAATGAGTTTTGTAGGTAAGCTCAACATATCTCTAAGCTCTAAGTATATCTTAACAGAGACCAAAATTTGGATTCCATGCTAAGAAATTTTTCCAGTAACCTTTTGATTTCCCTGCGGAAGTCCAGACAGTCTGGAGCTTTTCAAGAGGAAAACTTTTAGTAGGTCACCAATCCAAATATTTTTGTGGGTACATGGATCACAACTTTCCTCAGAAACCCCCTTGATGTTCGCTGGTCTCCACTCCAAATAAGTGAACGTAGCTTGAGATCTGCCACAGTAATTCTCGTATTTACTCTCAGTGCAAAACTAGAAACATCTAATCTTCTGCCACATTCTAAAAATGTATTAACTTTTTTGTCCGGGCTTCAGGTATATTTAAAGGAAAGTTGATATCTGATAGCATGGCTGCAAAGTGCTGCTGTAAAGAGTAAATGATGGGGCATCCTTAATTATGTGATTTTTGTATGTAATATTGCCAACATAACTTCACCATTGAATGTTCTACAAAATTTGCCCGAAAAACCAAATTCCCTCAAAATTTTGACAAATATCCCATTGTTCCAACAGCTGTTGAATGCTGCATCAATTGGAGTCCCACCCAGACCAAAACCTGGCTCTAGTATGGAATATTCGGTAGTCCATGGATTGAGGTCAGCCATTGAATGCATGTGTGAATATACTCCTAAGCAACAAGAGAAACAATCACAATTGACAGATGGCAGCAAGGTAAATTTTCCTGATTTTTTACCCCTTTCAATGGAGTTTGGCTGAACAAGGAATCACAGTGAAGTGTTGGAAGTTTTTTCAAACGAATGATTAAATAAACGCCTCCAATTTGACTAGTTTTGCATGATATCTCATGAGCAGAAGATGCCTTTTAATATGCACTCTCGTGGAGGAGGGTAAGGGCCAAGGACGATTTCTATAGGACCTTGAACTCCTGTCAGAGCCAATGTTCAAATCAATGAGCAGGCAGTAATGCTGCAACATTGCACAGGATTCTTGCAGCTAACTGCTAGTATCAGATATTGAAAGTTACAAAAAATTCGTTAAATAACGAATATCTGCCATATATTATTTTTTTTTCCTTTCAGAGACTGATAGCCGGCTAATTTCCTCTTCATATCGGGTCAGAAAACATCATAAATAGATTGCATTTTGCAAAAAGGAACCAACAGCATTTGAATGTTGCCAGGATTGTCTAACTGACATTCTTTGCAATAAAATTACTGAAGTCATGCAAAAATTAAATTTACATAAGTGATTTTCGTCTTGAATTTATAGTTTATTTGGAGTAAAGATAAAACTTGTTTAGATGATCAAGGTATATTTGCAAGGTAAAAAAAGTTGCACCATCTTAGCAACATTGGAATGCTTTTGGTTTTTTTTTTTCAAAATGCAATCCAAATATACTTATTTTCCATTAATTCAGAGGTCTTTCAGGTTATTTTTTATATATCAGCTTAACCTCACTTTTGGAGTGGGGGATGGATGGGTTGAGGTACGAAAGGATGGCTCCTCTGGGTTTACAATGATTGTATGCTTGGTTGCGCTGCGATCGGCTACTCACAACAGTTTGGCGTCCTATAGAACTTTGGTCATCCTGCACCAAATCAGCATGTGTGCCTATTGAATCTTAAATTAAGCCTTTATTGTGCGTACTTTAGTACCTGCAAGGAGAGGCAATGTGTTAGAAGTTAGAAGACCAATTGAATTGCATCTTGCGAGAAGGAACCAAGAGCATTTCAATGTCGCTAATATTGAGCAACTTTTTTTACCGATCAAATATAATCTGATCATCTCAACAAGTTTTGTCTTTACTGTTTATAAACCATTAATTCAAGACGAAAACTACCTTTTTAAATTTAATTTTTTCCATGGTTTCAGTGACTCTTCGCGAAGAACGTCAGTTGCACAATCTTAAAGACATTAGAACGCCCTTGATTCCCTCTCCCAAAATGCAATCCATTTGTGACTTAAGTAATGAACCACACAAAGTGTCTGACTGTTCTGATTAGCCAGTGCCGTGGCCGCCTCCCTTATCCAAACCTCTGTAGAGGATCACTGCATAGAATATTAGCTACTAATTTTTATTCTATGATCACTGTGTTAGATGAGAATCTTCACCAGAATGTCACTCGCCAGTAATTACTAAAACCTCATGACAACACCATACAGAGTTGCCAGAATACCAGGAAACGTTGAAAATTAATGTAAAAAGGTTTTTTTTTAAAAAAAAATTTCATTTTACATTAAGTTATAAAATTTTTTTACACTAGGTTACAAAAGTCAGTGAAACCCTGGAAATGTTAGGGAAAATGATGAAAGTAACAGGGAAACATTGTTAAGCCACCTTATTTGCTCTCTAGAAGGGTTTTGTCGTTTTGAAAAAATTTGCGTGGAAACTGTTTCAAATTATGTCTTTTTGACCATCTAGTTCATCTTCAATTATTGTTAGGGAATTTCATTTTCTAAATTCTGTGGCAACCCTGACTGTAAATTTAAATCTAGGCGGCATGGTGAGGAGAGAGGAGGTGCGTCGTGAGGAAATATGCTTTGCTAGGTTTGATTCTTGTCAGCTATGTTGTTGTGCATTATTACTCCTGGTTCTTGAGCTCCATGAACTAACATAGAGAGGGCTCAACTACTAGTGGCAAGGGCAGAATCTAGCTGCAAGCTGGCCACAAGCAAGTACTTTAAGTAGTGTAATGGCCGATCGCCCAATAACCAATGGTATGTCTTGTAAACTAAGTAGATCAGGAATTTGGCAGTTTTACTGAAGAATTACTCATAGGTACTACAGAAAAGAATACACTTCATAATTATCACATTCATTGCTCTCCAGTTTTAGCAACTCACACTAATGTCTCAGCATGTCCAAATAATTTACCATCTCTTTAATCTTCCTCTCCTTCTTTTTCTTAAAGATTCTAAATCGATGTAGAGTGATTTGTATCACATCAACCAGAGACGATGCCAGCATAAAAAGTTTAGAAGAACTGTTTATGAATGACCTCATTCAGCTGAATAAAGCAGCCTCTCAGTCAGATCTGTATGTATCATTTAAGCTCGCTTATCTTGTAATGTAATGTAAAGAAAAATTAAGATAAAATACAACTGTCAACAAGAGTCACTGTAATGTAGGCACTGCCATTAGGTGGATAACGCACTTGGGGAAATTGGGAAGGTAAAAGTCATCCACGGCTTTCGGACCACAGGCAGTCGTGACCGGTCACTAGAAACGCGAATTAGGTTAATTATATAGAGAGACGACATGCATTTACTTTACTTAAATTTGGAAAAAAGTCATCCGCGCTACCCGGACCGCAGGCAGCCGTAACCGGTTATGGGCAGCGCGATTAATTTAAACTGTATTTTGAACTTTTAGTGGCAGAAAGCCTGACTCTAACGTTTGCTTATTATTAAGAGAAAGGATAGCCGAAAGAAGTTAGATTTGGAAAACATACTCACTGGCAGCTGAAACGACGTAATAGAGGGAAGGAAGTCTAAAGCGTGGGGAAGTATGTCCACGGGGCGAAAATTCTTTCCCAAAGACACTCGCATAGAAGGCGAGGTGATGCATGATTGGTTAGAGGCACACGGGCTATGCAATCATACGCGACATGTGATGAAAATACGCGGATGCGTTGTTTAAGCTAAGAAAACTTGCGAAGGAAGGCGCCAGTGAGTATGAGAATTAAGAATTATTGAAAAGAAGGAATTAAAAAGGGAATTTAACTTTTGAGATTGACAAAAATAATTAATAAATGTATTTAAATAATTTATAGAAAACCGGATGGGAGAGAAGGAAGCCCGCACTCCATGTCGCGCCGCGCGTATCATTAAGCCAATGGAACATTAGAAGAGATGTAAACTTAAGCATTTTGATACATGCTTTGTTATCATAATTTCGCATGGAACACAATTTGTATGTTGAAAAACTTTTAACCAAGATATTTAATGCTTTTTGATGTGTAAATTCTAGCTTCCTGCTACCTGCTTATGGAAAAACGAAATTATACTTGAGTCAAATCATGCACTTAATATTATCGCAACAGTCTATGCGGTCATAAATATGCCAGCCTCAATCTCGGTGCTTTGGCTGAGCTGTTGCTTGTTTTTAAATTTTTAAACAGCACAAAGCGAGGAAAGCGCATCGCTTGATTAAGAAGCCTTCCAAAATCATTGAAGTGCACATTTGATTCAAGTAGGCTAATTTTTTTCCTTGTGAGAAGGAAAATCAAAATTCCTTTGACCATTGTAAATTGAAAATGCCAGTATCTTAATTAGAGGTTAACATAGTATTTTTGTTGGGTAAATTGTGTTCTTTGTGAAATTTCAATAATGAAACATGTATCAGAATGTTGAAATTTGCACCTTGTTTATTGATCCATTGAGTAAACATGAAAAACAATCTTCAAATCTACTTATACTCATTAATTACAAAGTGAAAAAAATCTTCAAGGTTAGTTGTGCTTGAAGTCTGGAATTCAGATCTACTCAGTTAGTGGATTTCCATATGAGAAAGCAATTATTTTAAGTAAGAGCTTGTAGCCTTTTGCTGAGTTAGTAATATTTTAGGTAACTTTCAGCTGATGTTGATATAGGAAAAGCCTTTCAAATCAGTTCCGCTTCTTGATTGCTGTGTAAGTTATCCAAAATTTTAGTCCTGCTAACAGCTTTTGTTTTGATGTACTTTCCTCTAAAGATAAAAAGCATCTGATTTTCTAGTGTTTGAAATGGAAAAACTTCCCAACAACTCCAGAAGCATCTGGGTGGAGGTCTCATAGGTTAATGTGCTCTCTGTTAGTAATTTATAAGCAAATACTCCAAGCTTAGTTGCATGTGTACTAAAAGTTCTTGTTCACTTCATGAATTTCCGGAGCTAGGAGACCATATGGAGAAGTCATGGATTCAGGTTTGTTTTCAGTGGATGATTGGAAGGATCCATCGATAAAAAATCGTGAAATTCTGTGTAATCCTGACAAACCTAACATTTTCCACTTAGAACCTTTCTTTAATGGGTTCCTAAATCAAGTTCAGACTGCTATGATATCTGGTAGTTTAGATTGGTCTTTACATTTCTATTTCTACGTATAATAAACTGAAGCAGGCAATAATTTTTTTTCAATTTTTCTATTTTAGCTTTTTTTGTCATTACTTTATACTCTAAATATCAACAACCCCCTTTTTTTTTTATTTCAGGTTGACACCTGTTCATCATTGTCATTTAGTCATCATCAATACCTACCCAAATAATCTAGAAAGTATAGCTGTTACCCCTCGACCCACACGAGATGTAAGATACCGTAATTCTTGAAATTTTTTTCACTACAAGAGTAAAATTGTTGCAAATCTAACTGGTAAAAACCACTCTTTCTCCAACCTTATTTGTTTTTTGTCACTCACATTCACGTTCTTGACCCCTTTGAGTAGCATACTGCTGTGGTTGAAGTCTCCTGCTTTGTATCCTCTCTAATTGTAGAATCTTATTTTATTTTATTTTATTTTACAGTTGGTACATATATTCCCTTTAAGGGATCGTACTAGTCAGATTACAAGATGATAGTACTACAAGTTGTAAAAGTATCATTACAAGTATCTTACTTATGATTTCATCCTTTTTCAGCTCCACCTTATTGCCTCAATTTATCAATTTTTCTGATCTATATCCAGCTATCTACTTCTGAATTTTTCTGGTCTCTTTTGTATCGCCTTTATTTGGATTACATTTTGCAATAAGGAGCCACTATCTCTGGCTCTCCCATTAAAGCACATATCTGCGCAGGGAAACCAATGGCATGTATGTTGTTTCTAAAATGGGCCAGAAATAATGGTTCCTTATTGCAAAATGTGATCCACTTTATTTTGAAGGAATTTGTTTCCCATGAAGTTCCAGTTCTGTATTTATTAATGTTTCTATAGCTTCTTTCCATTTTGTTCTTGCATTAAATTATTGAAACGAAAAAAAAGAAAGAAAAAAAAAACAAACAAACAAACTAACTGTGAGAGCATTGATGAATTATGCATCTAAAACCTCTGAAAACACTTCACTACTCCTGTTTAAGACAAAACATTCAACAGGTTAAAATTAAAAAAAGGAATAATTGGGACCAAGATGAGAAAAACACACAAATTTCAGGAGGTATTCAGGAGCCAAGAGAAGATATACTGTGCCGAAGTTAAGAAAATTATTGGGAATTGTAGATACCAAGATGCTTCTTTCACAGGAGTATGCTGCTGAAGAAACAGCTAAAAGGTCCCTGAACGCAAAGAGCTTTCAGCAAAAATGATTGAAAGTAGTGAGTTTTTAACAGTTAGATTCTATCATTCTACCTTGAAATTTTCTTTCTTTTGTTCAATAATTTTTCAAAATATTGCTCTAACCAGTCGACAGTTAGAATTGAGCATCACCATGCATGCATTCATTACAAAATTTCATGTGGAACGTTTGGAGCACATTAAAAAATTTCCTAATTCAACTCAAAAGTAAGAAATAATTTTTTCTTGTTTCAATTCAAGTTTCCTGCTGTTGTAAAACCAAAGTCTGCTTGAGTCAACTCGAGCTGTCTATTAATTTCAGTTTGTTTCACAATGAAAAATGATTTTCCATAAGCTGCATTTTTTGTGGCAAGTTTAAATTTTTAGTATAGGAGAAAGGTACAAATTTTGTAGTACTAAAGATTACGTATTTTTTATTTTTATGACCAATTTGATCTAGGTATGTTGATTTTTTTGTTGTTTTCATTAAGGGAACTTTAAATTGGCTGATTCCTATTTCAATTACTTGCGTTAAGTCCTCAAGAATGAGTTCAATTTGGAAGTTTTTGATACAGTCAAAAAGTTCTGCATGAAATTCTGAGAAGAAAACATACCTGGTTAAATCTCCCAACCTAATGGTCTATTGACACAGAAGCCCCAAGAAGGGGGGGGGGGGTGCATTATGATAAACATGATGAAATAATAGCAGTGTAGATTGATACTAAATACAATTATGATGAACATTGTATATTTTTAAATATTGGTAAGTTCTGTTTGAAAAATTGCAAAGACACTGTATGGATTAAAAACTGCAGCATTGCTGTTGCTTTCATAGCTGTATTGTCAGAGGATGTATTGCTCGTCAGTCTTATATGTAGTCATACATCTTATTTTTGATGATCATCTAGAAAGCCTATCTAGATAGTCAAAGAAAGAGGAGGGAGGTTGAATTCCCCATGATATACAAATAAATTAAAATTACATGTTTAACATGGAAACATTTCTTACTTCGCTTGGGGGAATATTTCATGAATTTAGGGGGTGCACCAGTCTAGAAAACTTTTTTCCCCCTTCAAGTCCTATAGACTTGAAACTTTTGCTATGAGTAGGGTAGGTACATGTAAAACTAAAATTTCCCCAAATTTTCGTCAAGCGGGTTGCGTACCCTGCCCCTTAATACATGATTAAGTGATTTTGAAGAGGCATCTTGTGACAATCGTTTCTCAGACTGAGAGTGAGCTAGAGACCTGCGATTTGTTTTAAAGTACCAAGAAATGCTCCCATTGTTATCTAACAGAGCCGGATTTATCAAGTTTTGACTAAAAGTATTTTTTAAAAAAAAAATTTAAAAACATGAATTTTTTCCAAATTTTTTTCGGTGTTTGTTAAAATAATAAATGATCAATGAAGAAAATAAAAATTTCGGCTCTGTTACATAATAGAGCATACATTTCTGGTCATTTTAAAAAAAAATCGCAGGTCTCGAGCTCAATTAGAGCCAGGTAAACGGTTGCCTGAAAAACGGAGAGATGAAAAAACATGCGGAAAACTGATTTTTCAGGAGAGCAATATCATTAAATGTAAGTGAAAAAGTGCAAGGTGCAAGTGCATCATTCTGCAAGGGATCATCACTTTTGTCCAGTTTTTTCGAGTTTTTGGGATCATGATAATTAAATAGTGGATATAATACCATCTTCAGTAGACTCTCCTCTGTAAAATTAGTGAAAAAACGGGGAAAAAAGAAAAAAAAATAAGAAAAATAGAAAAAAAAATTGGGCTATTTTTAGACTGGAGTACCCCCTTAAAGCCTTTGGATTGTATTTGTTAAAGTCTTCAGTTATCTCGGTTTTCAGATATCACCTCTTTTATCTTCAGAAGTTCATGTCATCAAAGCGGGCCTTGGAATATCAAGCAAATTGTCCCAATTAATATTGAACCATTATGATCTAGCATCAACAACAGTGACCGGAATTCCTATGAAAGAGGAGCAGAATGCAAACTCATCAGCAAACTATGATGTGGAAATATTTCATGCCTCTCAAGCTCACACAGCATTCCTAAGAGGTAGGTGAGCCAAATGTAATTTGCAAAAAAAAAACAACAATGTGTACAGTGAGAATTAATCTATAAGAAGATCTGTTCAGGGGGGGCTTCAGTGATAAAACACCAATATTTTTTAACAAAAGATTCACCAAGATTCTTGATCCACGAACTCTGTGTCATCAGGGCATTTAAAAAAGAATGCTCAGACTCAAGATTTTGGCTCTCAGTAAAAATTCTGGTAGATAGGTAACATGAATAGAGCTGATAAGAATTTTGGGGTTACGTTACTTTTTGGAGGGTGCATACCTCCCTTTTCTATACAAAAATCTTGAATTTCGTATCCTTATATTCAGTCAATTTTAACACATACTTTGTGTGTTTGAAATATTGGCTCCTAGTAGAAAATCCAAAAGACAGAATACCAAAGTAGAGCTGTGCAAAATTTGGTCATGATTGGATTATTCTGAGGGTATATGCACCTTACAATTGGACGTATTTCTATCAAACAGAATTGTTAGCAGGTGAGAAATAAGGGGTGTGCTCTAGAAATCTGCATAAGAAAGAATGTAAAAGAGGGCGTGATTCCTTTTGAAGAATTGGAAAAGCGGGATATTACATTCTATCAAATAGAACTATATGCCAACTGAATGCAGGATTAATGAGCCGCGAGGATGGGACGAGAGCGTTGTGGACAGGGCTCATGAGTTAAAGCGCCCCGGCGACGATCTCCCCCTCGCGCCTGGGCTTCATCATTGCCGCTGACGTCACTGGCGCTCTATTATTCTCATTCACTCTTACGGCCAGAGAACTAGCGAGCACACCCCATATTTCTCTCCTGCACTTAGGTCTGTTTGATAGAAATACGTTCAATTTTAGAACGAGAGTTAGCCTGAAAAATTTAAACCAGAGAGATCTAAGAATGCCACCATTTTTTTTCAATGTCTTTTGTTGATGTTTGAAGATCTGTCGGTCTGGCAGCTCATACCGGTGACGTTTTATAGCCATGTGTCCTCAATTTTCAAAAAAATTTGCAAAAATTTAACTGGAGAGATCTATGCATGAAATTTTACCATCATTTAGAAGTTTATGCCCATAACGCAGATGAATCGGTCTGACAGTCGAAATCGCTGACCATACGGTCGCCAGACCAATTTAAAATTTGAAAACATTTCTGATATTTTCAAACGTTGCGATTCGATCTTGCTCCTTGTGTGCCTTTCCAGTGGCATAATCGCTGATTAAAAGTTTTACAACATTGTTTTTTGAGCCTAAGGATGACCGACAGACGCAGAGAGATGAATTCAGGACACCGAGTGCGTCGAAGCCATCAATTATCAATTACAGTGCAAAATTAAAGCACTTTAAGACGGTCTGGCAACCATTTAGTCATCGAAATTGACTGCCAGTTCCAGAATTTTCGATTTGTTATAATGTTTCTAATAAAATGAGACTGGTCCCAATCGTCATAGATCGTTCCTGTTAAAATTTCGACAAATTTTTAAATTGGTCTGGCGACCTTTCGGTCATCGATTTTGACTGCTTGACCAAGTCATTTTTACTTTAGGGTTTAAATTCTGACGAATGACCGAAACCGTACTCATGCAGCCCTTTCAAAACTAACCCATCCATTAGTACCCCAATATCAATTAAAATGCAATTTTTCTACTATAGGACGGTCTGGCAAGCCTTCGATCACCGATTTCGACTGGTATGAGCTGCCAGACCGACAGATCTTCAAACATCAACAATAGACGTCGAAAAAAAAATGGTGGCATTTATAGATCTCTCCAGTTTAAATTTTTCGGGCGAGCTCTTTGACTATTACATGGGAAAAAGTTTCTGTCGAAAAATACTTCTTTTTTGCTCAAAACAGACTTGAACCCCTGAAAAAACCTGCAAAACTGGTGTTTTATTGGTGTGTAAGGGGGTTACCCACCACCTAAAAATAATCAGATCTTGCCAAAATGCTACTAAGTTCTACCTTGTTATTCTGTCTTTATTATTTTCTACTGGGAGCTGATATTTCAAACACACGTGGTATGTGTTAAAATTGTCCAAATAGAAAATACGAAGAATCACAGTTGTTTTCTTAACATGAGGAGTTCACACCCTCCAAAATTTAACAGATCAACCTGATAATTTTCTCACCTTTATTCTTGTCACTTATCTTTCAGAGTTTCTACTGATAACCAAGTTCTGAGACCAAAAGATTTTTTCTGAATCACCTAGTTGTATCTTAATGTTTGCGGTGAAACGTTCTAAATTCATCTAAAAAATTATCCAACTAATTCGGGTTTTGTCTTTTGATATTTTATGGCTGCTTTTCAGAAGTAAATTTGTATTTTTGTTCCAGGTGATTTAGCTGATACAATGTTAATCAGGACTCCTAAAGAAGGTGCAGAGTATGACACTATTACCCTAAAATGGTGCACTCCTCGCAACTTATCCTCTGCTGAAATGCATAATTGCACAACAATGCACCGTATTACACCAACAGATGTCAATAGGTACTTACTGAACTCTTTTTCTTCAAGACTTTTGGAGTTGACAAATGAAAATTACACCCTTTGAATATCTCTTGAATACTGTCTTGTCGAGGAGTTTGGATACTACATAATTTGGTCGCAATTTCAGTCAAGAAAAAGTCAAGGACCAAGTTCAAAATTCATAAAGTCTCAAATATCCAGTAACTCCTATAGTGAAATTCAACTGAGTTTGACATCATGTTGAAGTTCTTGTCGATTTGATAGAGCACTTACCACCATTCTCAAGTTCTTTTATTCTTTATTTCAGCCGGCCTTCATCTTGTCTGATCAATTTTCTTCTAAATGGGCGATCAGTGATGTTAGAAATGCTACGGAGGACAGGAGGAAAAGCAATCTCTCATCTGTTAACTGCGCATGGAGGTGAAATATTTATTCATACCATTAGTATGGGCAGGAGTATTTTGGAAGATCCACCTAGTATCAGTGAAGGACAAGGAGGTCGTATCACTGATTATCGAATAACGGTGAGGGTATAAACTTATTTTTAAATCCAGAAATGTTCAGTAATTTTGAGAAATTATTCACAACTTGCTACAGATTTTATTTTCTGTAAATCACATTCAACTAGATCAAGTTAGAAAAATTCGTCCTGTTTACAACATTTATATGATGAATATTGGTGCTTAGGCTTAGAAAACATTCAGTTTGAACAATAGTATGTTTTGCTATTATATTGTGTGTTGAGTAATCAAGAAAAATCAAAATTCATGTCTGGGAGAAACTCATTCAATTATGATCGATGTTCAGAGTGATTTGCTGCTTGGCATTCTGCATGTTTCTATGTTCAGACAGATCATGAGAACTTCGCTGAGCTCTGACTAACGGTAAGCAGACTTGCCTGAAGGAGCATCTTCTTTTCATAATTTGCAGTCCCCAATAACGATTTGAAAAAAAAAATTAGTTTACATATTTTGCTAACGCCCTGGTGGCATTTAATGAACTTATCAAAAATTCAGGAAAGTTTAATTTCAACAAATTTGTTTTTTTAAAAAAAAAGAGATTATTTTGACGATTGCCAGCTTCCCTCAGAACATTTTCAAGTAGTATATAGTTCCTTTTTTAAAATGGGCTTTAAATTGAAAATAAAAATTAACAGATCAATAAATAAAAATGATTAAATACTGGTCTCAGCAATTTTCAAATTATCTAAAACTAACACTGAATATTAACACTTCTATTTCAAAGTCATTTTTAAAACTATAGAATTTTAATTTGTTAGGAGCTGTAAGAATACAGAATTTTTTAAAGAAAACTATGAGGCACATAAAACTGGAAAACGTTTTTAGTAGGCTTGCAATGCTCACAGTGATTTGTAAAACCATGCTAATCACAGTTTCACTTTAGAAACATGGGGCAGTAAAATTTCCTAACCTAACGGTGAAACAAAAGTATAGGTACTGAAGGAAAATTGAAGAGTTTGCCTGTGAAATGGCTCCTTTGAAAAAGATCTGTTTTGAGCAAAACGCAGAAAAAGCTCCCATCCAAACAGTGAAGCTACGTTTTCCTTCTTAATGTTTCATCATTTTGGATCTTTTGTTTGTAGGATTTTGGCGCTCTGATGCAAGCAAACAAATTATTCCCTCTGAGTAAGTACCTTGAAAAAACCGGTGACCCCACACCCTTGGAACGAATGAAAGCTCAACTGGACCGGCATACAAAATATTGGCCTCTTACAATCTCGTCAACCTGTATCTTCAGCTACAAACAGTTTATGGAGCCTCTCCTCTCACTTATGCTGAAGACAGATCTCACTGATGATGAGGTTTTCCAGTGCAAACAGTGCATCTTTGTTTTAATCGGCCTTGAAGCAAAGCATGAGCCTCTTCAAATTCCAAATATTGGACAGCGAGGGAAAGGTCCAAAAAAAGAGGAACAGTATCGAGTAATGTGGAATGAGTTGGAATCTTATCTCCGAGCGCACAGTCATACGGACCAGCATCGGCAGGTACTCCAGTGTCTGTTGGAGTGCAAAAATAAGAGTGGTGCCATTGATGATGAGAAGTTAAAAAAGATGGAAACTGTAGAATTGGACCAGGCATTGCGGGAATTAGATCAACTAGTCAAGCAGCCAGAAGCAACAAGAACATCTGACTCCATGAGGGTTACAGTGATCCGGGCTACAACTGATTCTCCCATGTCTCCGCCACCATCTGCATCGATTCCCTCATCATTTTTCTCTAAATCCCGTTCTAATTCAGGTAAGATAGTCGGTCAGTTTATTAATAAGTTAATCAGTAGCTATGCCTATTTAAGAAGTTAATCATTCGGATATTTCTCTTAATCAAAATATTTTGTAGAACACAATTCGCTCAACCAAAATTTCTGACATCAACTCCTACCCAAGATATTTAATATTTCGTTACTCTTAAATTCAAACCTCCTGCTCATGAAAATGCAATGGTCCACGCGAGTCAATTCGCGCACTAAACGTTGCCGCAACAGTCTCTGTGGTATGAAAATGTGGCAACCTCAGTCTCGGTACTTTGGCTCAGCTGTTGCTTGTTCTTAACACTTTGAGCAACAGAAGGAGGAGAGGGATCATTGCTCTATTAAGAGGCTTGCTAAAACTGTTGAAGTGCGTGATTTGACTCACGTATAGTATTGCGTTTCTCAAGACTGGGCAATTCAACTTTCCTGTAACCATTGCAAAACAAAAACCTTAATATCTTAGTTAGGAGTTGATTTCAGTAATTTTCGATGCAAGAATAGTTTTCTCTGTAAAATTTTGGTTTAGAAACAGTTATCAGAGTGCTTGAATTCGCACCTTGTCTAGTGGTCCATGAGCTGAAGGAAACCTACTACCTACAGCATTGGACAGAGAGGAAAGCCACAAATTCAGAACTGTTTGAACCCAGCATAGCGTTGAAGACGGTATCTAAAATGGGGCACTGACAACAAAAGCCGATCTTTAGCTTGCTCTTAATAAGAAAACTTTTCGGATACTCTTGACTTTGATACTTTTCTAATGTCAATAGTTCACTTCAAAATAGTGTATTTTGATAAATCACATCTTGAATAAAGCATTTCATGCAGATAAAAAAGAGAAAATAGTGACTAAATGCCGGTAAAGAAACATCAATTCTGTAGATAATCGATGTGATTCCCATCTATCAAACCTTAACCTGTGTAGCCTGAAAATTTTAGCTGACATTTTCCTTTCAACGACGACGCATATACAAAAGTGAACATTTTAAGAACTCTGACTCCGAAAATAATTTAAGAATATTTGTGCTTTGTTTCAGGGTCTTATTCTGTTCCGCATTCAATTTTAGATCTTTGGGACACAAAATCAGCCTTTGAAATTAGGACGCGACCACAGTTTGCAGGGCGCACAGTGGCAGAACCAGCACCTGGTGGCAATTTTGTTTCAAAATTATATCCAAATCTTAAACTTGAGTCTGGAAAAGAAAATTCTGCTGCTCCACAACCAGAAGCTTAAATCTTTCAATAAAAATTGAAAATTTATTTTGTATGTAAGTTTTTATTTTAATGTTTCCTTGGACTTTAATGGCTGTGCAAATGAGGTCATTGCTTTCATTTAATGACTGATATTTTTAAAATTTGCATTTATTGTTTAAGTAGCGTAATTGTCAAAACTGTATTTTTTGTCAAAGAAAAGATGTAAAAATATCCCATTTGAAGAACTGCCAAATGGCATCACCATTTTTCTGTTTGTTTTACAAAAACACAAATCAAAAGCAGCCAATTGTATGAATTCATCATAGTTCTTATTACTTTCTTCTTTTTTGTTTTGTTGTAAATAAAATTGTACATACCCTTGTCCCTTTTTAGTCTTGCAGTCAAAGTATTTTGAGTGTATCAAATTTGACTAACATCATGAAAGAAACAAGTCTAATTAAGAATCTTAAAAGTATGAACTGCCAGGTACAGTCAAACCGCGACCTTAGCAATAATTTGTGCTTTTGTTGTGTAGCTATTTTGGTGTAAAAACTCGAGTCAAAACCATTCCTGCTACATTAAATTTACCCAATTTTTAAGAAATCAAACGATATATTATTTCGAAGAAATCAAAAAGTACATAATTTTCAAAGAATCAAAAAGTATATAATAGGTATTTATTCAAAAATAAAAAATTATCCAATTTTCAAGACATCAAAATGTATCTGATTTTTTAAAAAAAAGTTCAGGTGCCTATTGTAAATGAGATCACAAAGGTTGTAGGTAGCCAACACTTTAGGAAAATTCAAAATCTTTATTTTTTATTAATATAAACGTGGAAAAATTCTATTCTATTCCACCTTATTCGAGTTGGAATGGGGGATGATAGGGGAAATTCCAGTTCGAAGCAGCATGCCTTTCTTCCCTGCACTGAACCTTTCCTTTTCCATCAGACCACTCTACGGTTCTCCCTCCTCCATTCTTTGATCAGACAGCGCTTTGCACGGTAAAGACGGTTGGTTGCTGTGCCCATCGAAAGTCACCATGAAATCTTGCGCATGCTTGAACGCTTCTCATTGTATGTCGCTGGAGTACAAAGAGTGAGGAACAACTCATTAGATTTTCATCATGGGGTCGTCTACAAATTACCTAAGTCATTTCTCTAGTCTCTTCTCCCACCGTAAGGTACTGCTAGAAGGCGACCCCCTTCCCTCTGGGAAAACTGATACCTAATTTAGCGGGAAAGTTGCTGAAACAAATTGGTACCGTTTGTAGCCTCAAATTTATTCTAGCCAAAGTTATTCCTAAATAATCTTTGTCAACGGACAGAGGCGCTCTCAAAAAGAGAACAATTCATCAGACATTCAGACATTCATGAGACATCAGGCATTGATTGTTTAATCAATGCCTGATGTAAGTCCCTCTTCCTCCCGATCAGGCATTTCCTGGCGACGACCCC